TGGCGCTCAAGCCACTGGATGTTCTGGCCAGGCTCCATCCCTCCAACAAGGCTGCCAGCTTGTCAGTTCAAATCTTTGCCCAGACTGTGCCTCCCTGTCTCCCCCAGCCTAGCATCTTCTGCCCTGGTGACCAGATGAGACTGGGTGCCTCCTCTTCCCTTGGTTGCCAAATCCCTTGGGGGAACAACTCCAGCTCTGTGGGGCAAAGGGACCCTTCTTTCTCAGGATGTATATTGTCCCAGTGTCACTCCTTATTCTGACTCTACCCTCCTTTCTGGCCAATTCTCTCCCTCAGCCACTGAAGTCAAATCACTCTTCTCGCCTTAGTTGTGAGGAGTCCACCTTCCCCTGGGAGCAGAAGGTTACTCAAGTTGCATCTGAGACCTCTTGGTCCCCCATCCGTCCTCCTGGGTTCAGTTTCTGGAGTTCTCCAGCCTGGGAGAGCACTTAGAGTCCCAGGGTTGGACCAGGCAGGGGGAGCTGGCAGAGAGGGACACTGGTCCTGCCTCCAGTCTAGGGAGGATAGCAGTGCTGGGGGCTTCCAGACCTCCCTTGTCCTATTCCTGTCCCACAGTTGCCCAAGGAGGATGGAGGAGAATGGAAGGCACTGAGCCCCTGAGGGTTCAGAAGCACACTGGGGAAGTCAAGCCTGCTCCTGGGGTAGGAGGGATGTCCTCTAGTCCCCTGGAGTATCTTGTGAGAACACTCAGTGTGCAGCAAGGTAAGGGCACCGGCCAGAGTACAGCCTGCAGGGGCCCCTCCTCTGACCTTGACTCTGGGTCAGCTGTGAGCGGTGAACGTGTTCACCTGGGTGGGGGTCACATGGAGCCATCAGACAGGATGCCTGTGAGAGGGGGGAACACTGCCATTCCTGGGTTGCAGCCAGGGGCAGAACCTCCTGGGAGTTGACTGTAAATAAGGAGCTGGCTGGGAGGGAACTGGCTAGAGGCTGCTCCTGGCCTGCTTCTTCCCCTGAAGGAGAAGCATGCGGGTGAGGTTGTGCCCACAGGATCCCTGCAAGGGCACATTCCAAGAGAAGGAAGGCAGGGCCTGTAGGATCTGACACTCCCCAACCCCATGCAGTTCTCCTGTACCCACAGGTGGGGGACTGGCCTGCAGGTGTTGGTCATCACAGAGGTCAACCTATCCAGCTCTGGCTCCAGGCATGGGCTCTGGACCTAACAGGGCCATCACTTGCTTATTTCTGGGACCTGGTGTCCCTAGCTTTTGCCTAGGTGGAATCTGGACTCCGATACTCTCCTACCTCCATAGGGCAGGGCCTATGGGGCTCCTTGAGAAGCCCAGCCCCACCTGACTGTCACCATTTCTCCCTAACTGGAATGCACTCCACCCTCCTGTCTCAACCTCAGCAGGTGCACATGCAGGGCCTGCTCTGTGCTCTGTGTTGCCCCCTCTCTGTTCGCTCCACCTCTATGGGACCGAATAACTTCAGAGGCAGGAAGGCAGAGAGACAGAGAGTAGGGGTGGCTGTGTCAGGCTGGCTACTTCCCCTTTCCCTCCCACCCCTATTAGAGCCTCTGGCTCTGCTTAGCTGGGGCTAGCCAGGCTGGTTTACTCCAGTGAACTGGGCTGTCTGAGAATTCAGCAGGCCAAGGAGAGTGACCTTGGCCAAGGAGATTGGGGCAGAGGGGGGTTCCCTTTGGTTCTCTGGACCTTGCCATGTTCTCTACCCCAGACATCTAGACTTGGTCTACCCCAGCAGAACAGAAGCAGGAGCCACACACAGGGATGCCTTCCCAAGAAAGTGACAAGTGCACATCCAGCACCCATAGGCATATACATGCTCCTACAGCTGATACTTTACCCCAACAGTATACACACACTCACACACACACACACACACACACACACACACACACACACACTCATACACACACACACTCATACACACACACACACCACTCAGGAAAGCAACATTGGTCTGACTACAAGCTCACATGTGCTCTCTCCTTGAACACACACACATCCAAGCACTCCTGTACTCCCATTCACCCTGTGTGTGAAGCACACACACGCTGTCACACATTTCCTCCCCCAAGTGAAGGTAGGATCAAGCCCCTCCAGCCATGTGTCTACATCTGCTTCTGCTCACAGACACCCTCCCATAGGCGGCACATACAGTAGGCAGCCATTGGCACGACACATAAGGAACCTATTTCCTTACTCTGAGGTTGCTCACATACTCAACACTGTCACACAGGGCATCCCAAGTACATTTGGGATGTACTCAGGCTGAGCATTCTGGTGCACATTCTTCACATGCACGCATGAATATTCACAGGGGAGCACGCATACACACTTTCTGGACTTGAGGTTTTAGGCAGGATCAGGGTGATGACAGCTAACTCCCCAGCTCTCTCCTCTGTGGTAGCCTGGGCTGGAACCCTCATCCTTCCACCTACAAAGGTGATCCTTGTGCAGGCTGCCCCACTGCCTGACTCCACTGGACCGAGAGCCCTCTTGGTCAACCCAGGTGTCCATCCTCTTTTTTTGAGGCAAGAAACAGGGGTCCCAGCCTCCCACTCCAGCTCCCCACCCCAACCTCACCACCAGGTGCTCATACTCACTGACACGGGGGTGGGTAATGTAGTTTCGGGTAACTGCCTGCATATGCTCTTGGGCTATGCCTGGGTCACAGCCACTGCCAGGGAGCCCCCCAGGCGTGCTGTCTACCTTCATGGCCATGGTATGTGTTGGCCTGGGAGTAGAAGTCTGAGCAGGTTGGTGGCAGCTATAGGACTTCAGGCTCAGCTGGAGCTGGAGTGGCTGTCTAGCTTTTGCCTGTGGCCACTCCACCCCTTACTTCCTTCTCCTCTTGCTCCCCCTCCTCTCCTCCCTCAGGTTGACGGTAAACAGGGAAGCCTGGGCAGGAGGCCAGCTCTGAAGCTTTCTCCACACACAGGCTGTGCAGACTGGAGGTGGCTGGCCACCAGGATGCTGGAGGCTGGCAAGGGAGAGAGGTAGAATAGGAATGCAGCTTTCTCTAACCTCTGTGCTTGGCTGTCCCTCTGCCCACAACCCCTGGTGAATGTTGGTCCCTCGCCCTGCACCACATCTCACTGGTCTTTAGATGCTTGATCTCTGGCAGGCTGTCTTCTCCTCACTGTTCTTTCAATTAGCCCTCATCCTGTACCCCTGCCTTGCTGATACCTGGGTATTGTCATTCCCTCAATTCCCTAGTCCTCTTTTTTCATCATCAAAAGAATTATGTGGTCAGCTTCTGTTACACCTCCTAAAGGAAGCCTTCCCTGGATTCTCCAGCATCGGATTCACCATGCATCTGATCTTTCTTAGCAGAGGACACTTGTGGCTGCTACTGGGCTCTGAACCCCAAAAGTGAGCCTGTGTCTCTTCTATCAGCTTGGATTTTCTTAAGCCTTATGCCTCATAAGAGAACTTTCTGAGAAGAGGACTGGTCTCTCTGTCTGATCCTAGGACCATGACCCAGCTTCTCACATTCCCCTCCAGGATCCCATACAGCAGGCCTGCCCTGACGTTCTTAGCCCAGGGCAGAAAATTCAAATGGAGGCCTATGTATTATGTACCTAAATATTTTGAATGACAAATCAAACTATGCCCTCATCCTGGCCTGTATTCCATGATAGGCCTCACCCTGCTTCCTAGAATTGTCTTTGTGTCAGGGTGTTTTCCCAGAGGTAGTGAAGTGTAGCACAGGTGTGCAGGCAAGGTGGGTTTGACACTGGGTGGTAGCTAGGCCAGTCCTACCCAAGTCCTGCCTCATTCTATATTTAGCACATCCTGCATTACTAAGCACTTCCCTAAACTATCCCACCTGTGTAGAAGGAAGGGCAGAAGGGCAATTGTTGGTGATCTCTGTCTTTCAACACCCTATTCTGGGTGACTTGGACAGAGAAGCCAATATGAAATGAAGCTGCAGCTACTGTATTCTGCAGCGCAAACTGGGCTTGTCCAAATCTCAGGCCACATCCTTCCGCTGAGGACCCATTTCAGGTCTCCGGCCCCTTGCTCACAATTCCCATTTGGGTCAAGGAACTCGCCTATCTGGGCGGGGAGAGGATAAGAATATAAAGAGGCAGCACCAGGGCAGTCTCTGCAGTGAGATGATAGTTCTATATCCTGAGGGTGGGGTGGGTCCATGAATCTACAGAGGTGGCGAAATGACACTAAACTGTGCACATGGTGCCAAGGTCAGTTTCCTGGTTTGACATTATGCTAACTATGGAAGCTACAACTGCTGGCAGAAATTGGGTGAAGGAACTTCTCTGCCCTATCTTTGCAACTTCCTGTAAATCTACAATTATTGTAACTTAAAAGTTCAATGACAGTACCTTGAGCAAAAATAAATTTGTGATGCTTCGTGTTCAAGTGTTTGCAACGGGCAGACCCTCTCTAAACACTGGAGTCTTGCCTGGGCTACATTTGATGCCCTTTTTCCCTCTCTCTGATCTGATTTCACCTTGAATTGATAACCCTTGAAGGAGTCAATATCCCTCCCATCAAGTATTATTAAGTTTGAAAGAGGAGCTGGCTTAGGGTAATGCTTAACCAAAGACAGCCCTGATATTGTTCGGGGAGACTTGGGATGCCTGGATGGGAGCTCCGTTGGAGTGGTCGTCAGGGGGACCCACAGACCCTCTCCCATTTCACATCTCCCTCACTCAGCCCATTTTCCTTCACAGTGAGGACAGGAAAGGAAGGGAGTGAGGTGGTGCTGTGGGGACTGGTTCCCTTGTCTTTGTTTTCTTTTATTTCAGTGAGAGATACGCACACACACGCACACACACGCACACACACGCACACACACACACACACTGCACTCACACACATGAGCTGCGGGACCAAGGCCATTTGGTCAAGTCCCTGAGCTGGGGACAGGTGGGAAGGGGCATGGCATCACCACCTCTCCTCTTTGGGGCCTGCTCAGTGCAGTCCACTGGGGGCTGGGAAGCTAGGACAGTGATGTGCTGGGGATTCAGTGTCACACATAGGTAGGAGTCTTAAGTGTTAGCTTTTTTGTTGCTCCGGCCAGGGCTGCCTACTTTCCGTTCTAGCCGGCTATAGGGCGCAAAGGCTGAGGAACCCAGTTCATAGCTGGCAGGCAGGTCCAGCAGTGGGGCCATGGAAAAGCAGATGGCTGGTAGAGGGGGTGGCACTGGAGGGGACGCCGAGGCTGAGGGCAGCGGGTTGACACGTGGGGAAGAGTTCCTGGGGTCACCCAAGGAGGTGCTCTTGTGGCCAGCCGGTAGGCTTGGCAGGCCAGGGGTCAGTGTCAGGAGGCTGGGGGCCCTGGGCACAGGGAGCAGTCGGCCTTGTTCCAGAAGTCGCAGAATATTGGAGGTGGCGAAGGCCTCAGAGGCCGAGGAGGATGCCCGCTTCTCCAGGTCTCTGCTCTGATCTTTCTTCTGCTTGGTGCGTCGGTTCTGGAACCAGACCTTTACCTTGGGACAGAGGGTGGGTACGGGGTGTCAGGAGGGGAGAGAGGACAGGCAGAGCAAAGTGGGCAGGTAGGAGAAGAAAAGAAGAGAATTGCATAGGGCAGGGCAGAAGTGGTGGACATACGGATGAGGCAAACATGGGGAGGGGAGAAAGAACAGATTGTTATTAAAGTCTTCTTACAAGCAGCCTGCTCTGGGGAACTGATTAGGGACCCTATGCCCAAATTATGAACAGCTAAAGCTGACTCTGGCCTAGGATGGAGGAATGGATTGACTGATAGAGAAGGTGAAGTTTGGGGGTACAATTGAAGTGTTGAAATTCTCTTCTTGGTCTACATACTCTGTTCTTAATCAAGTTCATAGCCTTAGGCACCATTTATGTATGGATAATTCTCAACTATGCCTTGGCCCAGGCCTCTGAACTGAAGTCCAGGTCAAGCGCCCTATAGCCTGTTAGACATTATCCCATGGGGGTCTCAAAAGCACCCCAAGCTCCATCTGCATAGAGCAGTTCAGGTCAACTTCTTCACACAGGGCCTTTCCTCACATTCTCCCTCCATCATGTCCATTTCCAACCTCCTCTCCATTCTCAGTGCAGACCCTTCCCTATGCTGTGTCCTCTCAACTTGACAGCTGTCCCTACAGCAGTGCCTCTTGACTCTGGCTGCCTGCGAGAACCACCTGCAGCTTAAACCCTGAACTCACTGCTTATTGCCCAGTCAGTCAGGCTGGGGGTCGCTGGACTCAGGCTCTAACAATTTCTATAGCTCACCAAAGTGAGAAAACCAATGCTTTCAAGGTCTCTCTGTCCCAGGTGCAAACCCTATCATCTACAGTGTTGAGATGTAAAGTGGAAGCTACTGTCTCATGGCCTGCACTGGTTCTGACATACATGTGTGGACACCCCAGCCTGTTTGTATTCTACAAACAGAACTCCCCCCCACCCTAGTTGGCGTTTCTTGGGCCTGGGGTTCTGAATAATGTCTGTGGTCTTCCCTTGGAAGACTGACAGGAGCGTCCCAGCCAGACACTGGTAATGTCACTTGGCAGGAATTCTAGAATCCTGGACGCCTGGGGGGGTGGTTAGAAGATGCAAGCTCTTGGAGGGCATGACCCCCGGAGGGCTTGACCCCTTGGTTTTACAGAGTCCTCACCCTGAAGGAAAGTGTATGACTAGATGAGGCCAAAGTGGGACCCTCTGAGACTTGGGGCATAGGACATGGGCCAGTTGCCCAGTCTGAGGACAGTTCTATTACTACCTCTAGTCTTGGTCCCCACATACTTCTGGAGGGAGCTCTTTCTAATGCAGTCTGGTCGTTCTTCTGGACTTTTCAGCAGTCCCTTCCCTCTCTATCCCTATAAAGATCAAACTTCTCAACATGATACCAAGAGGGACAAGATATGGCAGGATATTGAGTGGACTTCTGATAGCTACACACTCAAACTTAAAGATAAAGAGATGCCAAGAAAACCATCTATAAAGGACAGACACCTTTTCTGGGCCTCTGAGATGGGCATCTGAGGAGGCTGGGAGTAGTCAGCTCTGTGGGGCCACAAACCTGATTTCCTCCATCTCTGAAAGGAAAGGAGTGCCCCTCCCATAGGAAATAAGTCAGGGGCTCAGAAAGACTCACTTATAGGCATTGGAAGTACCTTCTGGAAGCAGTGAGTGGCCTTTGCTCACCAGCCAGAAAATATGTCAGGCCAACATCTCACTGGTCCACCATTGGAACACTTAGACCCATGACGCAGGAGCTTCTTGCTCCGAGCTAGAGAGGACAGTTAGGTACAAGGAAGTGGTAGTAACAAGGGGTGTGACCAATACAGAATGACAGTTTGTGGAAGGTGTTCTCCTGCACACCTTGTCTTCACACAGCTCTGGGTGTAGCAAGGAGAGGTGATGGGGGCTTCCCTGGGTGGGGAGCCTCCTGGACAATTGGACTCTGGAAAAGGGGAGGAGAGATGCAGAGGGTATATGGAGCAAAGACTGGGAACTGGCATGTCATTTGTTGTCATGTGTGGGCTAGTTCAGAGATTCTCAACCATGGCTCCACATTGGAATTACTAGGGGACAGTCTACATCCTGATTCCCAGGCCCCATCCCAACCCCATTCCATCAAAATTGCTAAGGGGTGGGGCAGATGCACCTGTAGTGCTAGAAAGCTCTGTGGGGATTCCAATGTGTTGCTGGTGTTGTCACCTTCAAGGATGAGTGTGAGAAGACCTGAGTTTCTACTTCCCACCATCAGTCCCAAGGTTCCTAATGACTGGTTCATAAGGCTCAGAAAACATGGGACAAACACAGGGAAGACATGCTCAGAGTCCTCTAAACGTGTTCCTTCTCTTCCAGGAAGCCTTTGGTTCTACCTCTTGCCAGAGTTAAATCCAAAGTTATTGGCTCTTTAAAGTTTGCTTTAATCACACTCTTCCAGGAAGCCATTCCTGACCAACTCTACAGGGTGGTAGGGTTAAGGTCCTAGCCTGAAGTACAATACATGTCCTTGGGTACCTTCCCTATGCAGCATCTTCTCAGTGCTGTGCTGGGGCTTCTCTGCAGACTGTCATCTTGGTGGCTTCGTATTCTGATCCCTTGTTGGGCCACACTGTGACCAAAGAGTACAGACCATAATTGGGGCATGGTTTCCAGGACTGGGAAAGCATTTGCTAGATTATCCATTCTATTCTTTGAGGTCATGGTCAGTGTTAAATTCCCAAACTCATTATTCACTTGAGTAATAAGACTTTAATCTTTTAATGACTGTTTCCTGTAACCCTGAGAACATGCTGAATCTAAGACGAATGGCATCTGAGAGGCTAGAGTGGCCCTGGGTTTTATAGCCTGCACTAGGAAGGGAGCATTTATTCTGCTGCTCGGGGGATGAAGACAATTTTGAAGGCACCAGTAGCTCTTATCCAAGCTAACTGATGATCCTGCCAGTATCAGGACTTGGTAATTTGTCTTCAGCCTGGGCCCCTAGTCCTGCCAAAGTCTTCCAAGCCAGTCAAGTGAGGCAAACCCTGAGCTGGCCTCTCACCTTTCCTTCTTCCACAGCCACGTCTTTTCTTTTTCCTGCTCTGAACCTGCTATTCTGGTCATTCATTCAGACAATACATAAATATCAAGTGTTTGATATATGCCAGACATTGCCAGGTGCTGAAAAAATAAACGTAAATAAAACTCCATCTCAACTCACTAAGCTCTCAGCCACCAGTAGTGGGGGACATGGACAGGTTAGCAAGTGTTACAATGTGGCAAATGCTTTGGTAGAAGTAGCTAACAATCTAGTGGAGAAGCCTCTGAGATCAAACAGCCCTGGAATCAATTCTGGTTCTTCCTCTAACTGGCTAGATGAATGACATTGGGCAGACTCCATGAGCTAATAACAATGGGTTTGATAACATGCCTGGCAGAAATGGAAGTCTTTTAAGCAGCACAGTGCTTATTATCAGCTGGGCAGAACTGGCCATTTTATAATAATCCATTGATTTTCATGTATTACTACGCAGAGAAGACAAAAAATACAGATTGTTAGTTCTTCCCTGGAAATCTCTGGGCTGAGAGTGATGCAGGTGTCTGTATGTTATCAAGAAGCCCAGGTTAGTTCCATAGGCCATAGCTTGAGAAATGCTGTTTTAGTCGGACACCCTCCTTTTTTTTTTTGAGACAGGGTCTCACAATATAGCCCAGGCTGGCCTCAAACACTCAATCCTCCTACCGCAATCCCCCCGGCGCTGGTATTTCAGGTGTGTGTCACTATACCTGACCCAAATCTGTTTTTAAACAAAGCATAGTGACAATGTGTATCAGGTTTCTAAAAGCAAGGAGAACTGGATTAAATGGGACTATACCTGTTCTCTTTGTCCTCGGGAGGAGTTTTCAGCACATGTCACAACATATAAGGATGGGTGGAAGATTCTTCCCATAGTTCCAAGAGAGAGATCCTGTGAGACCCCTCTTGCTCCTTGTGCCCTCCTCCACTGCACAGCCATGGGACCTGGGCAAGGCCAGGGTCATAGGTCAGCTGCACTCTGTCTTGTTCACTGAGCCTACATAGGGGAACCTTCATCTGGCAGAGCCCCAGGATGGGAAGGGAGGGAGGAACCTCACAGTTCTGTGTGTTTGGTCCTGGTGGGCTAGAGGTAGGTGACCTTCTGTACAGACCACTCAAGATAAGTGGGCACATACAGATTAAGGAAGAGACTAGGAATGAGCATGGGCTCTGGACAAGCTCCATGTTTTCTCTATCCGAATGAAATGTGAGCACACCTGGGCCTTCCCTGTGGGGTAGAGACATCAGTTGGCAGCAGAAGAAATGGACAGAGAGAGAAGCTGACCCTTGGAGAGAAGAGGGTCACTCATTCAGTGCAGTGCCAGAGACCAGCCCTGTTGTCCATCAGAACCATTTACTTCCAGACACTTCCAATCCTTGCTCCTAAGGTTACTCTTCCTGAATTTCCACAAGATTGGGCCTCATTTTTTTTTAATGCGTTAGTATTCCATCCATTTTCTGGATGTGCCTTCCTACATCTCCACTTGGACCTCACACTTAATCAAACTGTTCTGCTCTTTCCTACTGTACTTCTCCCACTGTCCTGCTCCCTCACCATCTTCTCAGCTTGTAAAGGGCTTCAACATGCACCCAAGAGTTCCAGCCTAAGATATATCCTTTTCCATACCCTATACATGTAATCCACAAGCAAGCCCTAGCAGGTTCTGTCTCCAAATTGGAATACATCCATCTCAGACCATTCTACTTCTCTCCTCCACCATCACTCTGCTCAAGTCTCCATGTCAGCTGTGCTCAACTGGCCCACTCTTATCTCTTGTTAACTCATTCACTGGATGGCAGCCAGAATGACTTCTGTAAAATGCCAGTCATCTCATGTCACTCTTCCTGTAATGTCTTCCCATGGGCTGTAAGCAGTACATCTTTAGCCTGACTTACTTACCCTACTGCCCTATAACTCCAGCCACATTGGCCTTTTGACACTTTTAGAACATTCTATGCCAC